GAGAGAGAGAGAGAGAGAGAGAGAGAGAGAGAGAGAGAGAGGTAAAAGGAAAGCACGAGACCTGAAGTTCACATGCTCGTTAAAAAAGAAATCGTATTTTCGGAAGCGAGTATTAGCGACGTATGTATTATTTGCAGTTCGCGGAAAATATTTTTTCATGAAATTCGCGAATGTGTTCGATCACTCGCAAGTGAAATGTAGTTTCAGGTGTTAGTTAATCATGCGGACACGTGATTAATCGATATATATTTCAAGGAATTACTGATGACTAAGAGTACAAAACCAAGCATGCGCGTACATGCCGTTAAGTAATTTTTCCTCCTGCCGCATACTTCTTCCTTATACGTGCGCATAAGCGTAGAAAGAGGTATGAAATAGTCGATCAATTGTGGGCAAAATTCCTTGCGATTTCTGTCGTGAGTAACAAATGTTGCGTCAACAAATTGTCCATGGTCGCCTTAACGACATAAAATCTTAATGAGACGCTTCAGCTATTCAAGGACTTATAAAAAGCGCGATAATGAAAGCAGCGCATAAAAATTTAGTATATACAGGGTGTTCCATTTTAAATAATCCATTGAGATTTCTCAAAAAGGATTCTACAAAAAAATATTTTAAACCAAATTTGTACGATTTCAAAAGATGTCTTATGATGTTACTCACTTGACCTTGTCGAGATGATTAGAATTACGTTAAGATCAACTTGATATCTTTAAATAGCATTATCTGGTTTTTTTTTAAGACAAATTGATCTCTTCAGTCATTCTGAATATAAAAATATAAGAGTTAAAACGTCGAAAATTTCGCAAAGTATCAATAACCGGATCCAAGTTAATCGAAGAACTGATAGGCGGCAAGAAATGTGACAGGAAATTTGATCGATACCTTGAGATACCGTGCACCCCCACTCGTGCAATATTCCTCGCCGTGTATTACGCGACGGACTCTACATCTGGATACTAATTTTCAGTTGCTTCGAGACTTACTTCGTTGTACACACAAGCTAGTAAGCGATAGCGGTATTCCTGCGGTATACATACATTTTCCATTGTTCTGTCGTCGTGTCGAGCTTCTCCTTCGTCGGATATGTGCCTGGAATATTTGTCCCGGTATACCTCAGTGCGTAATCATCATTAGTCTGATCGCGGTCGATGGAATCAGTAAATTGCGGATCAGTAAACTACCCGATCCGCAAACTGCCAGGCAACGAGAGCGATAGAGAACGGGAATTATTGAGAGAGGCAGTTCGAAATGTTTCGTCGTATTATGTAATGCCACTCTGACAAAAAGTGATGCACGTTAAACGTTGACAAGCACGGCGTGCATAAACAAATCAGATTTCAGCGACTCGAATTGCGGCCGAAGATTTACGAAGCGTTCCTGTTATCGCCGTTATATCTGCCGTACGATCGCGATGAGATTGTCGAGTGTCTAAGTGCGAAAATTCTGCCGACACTCTCATTGACACAGGAATGATCATTGTTTCTTTTGTGTACCTCGCGGAGACAACATATTTTCTCAGTTCGCGTCAAACGCGACGAAAGAACGACGAAAGAACGACGAAAGAACGATACGTTTTAACAACACGTGCATCGTGCAGTGAAGTGTGCAGCGGCGAACCATGTCTGGCAAAGTGAATCAAGCGTTTGATGTAAGATCTACTTCTTTTCTATCGTCAATCAGTTCGCAATTCATAGCTCGTCCACAATCCGCGTGGCTTTCTACATATACGCAACAATTGACTTTTTTTCAGGCCAATTTTTATCTAAAGCCAAAGTATTTCGTTGAATTGCCGTCGAACCCGTCGACATGTGTCGTGATTATCTGTCCTTAATTTTTCATTCTAAATAAACATTACGTAAAACAGTCTGCTATTCTTGACCAACAGGACAACCAATTGGAGGAGTTGGAGAGTGGCCGCCGGAAAAGCGAAACCGTCAAAGTGAGTGTTTTCGTAAAGCATTCTTATCGCCACTGCAAAACGATACCTTTGTTCGGTTGATAGGACTATCAGTTTTACAACAGCGTAATTTATGCGCACAAACAATCGGGACCAATAGTTAGTGGCACAACGTATGTCAGGTGCACGATAATATTTCGCCACGATATTATCGAGCGACCCCGCCGTAATCCGCGGGATATCATTTTATAATCGCTCGCTTTAATATGGAAACTCGAACAGAGACACGATAACACGAACGCAGCGGCTAATGCCGTTGAATATCGCAACAAACGACCCAGAAATGTAATGTTGACATTTAGCTTTGTTCCCGCAGGATGTTGCTTCTCATCGCGAGCCGAGCAGCTATTGGACGGCGAAACGCGAGACGATCGAGGCTTTCCTCTCGAAATACCGAAGGGCCCTCAAGACCTGCGGCGTGATATTCTTGACCTTTCTCTTCCTAGCCTACATCATCTACGCGGGCATATATTGGAGAAGCACACGTACGTCCGCCGCTCGCCTCGGTGTTTCGCGAGAGATTTAACTTAATCTAGATTTAACTTCAGATTAAAGAGCTTTTATGCAAGATATAGATTACGAAACTCGCTAAACTCACAAATAAAATAAAAAGAGTCATCTAATTGTCAAATATTTGATAGCGCATCTAATGTAATCTGTGAGGATTGATAAGTTTATCTACACACACAGAAAAGTGTCATTTATTTGTTAAGAAAAGCGATTGAAACACAATTATGATTTTACGCAATTATTATCTTACAGAAAGAATATTTTCTCGATCAAAGGTCAAAGTATACTCATCATGATTTGAGAAAATTTGTTATCGTGTACTCTCTCTCTCAAACTTGCTTCGACTCTATGACGTGAGCAAACTAAATTTTTTGCTGTAACTTGATGTGCTTATGATAAACTTGTAATAGATTTGCGGATGTATAAACCTACGAAATATTTTAAAACAGGTAACATTGACCTACATACAGTATGCATTTTCTGTGTGTGTTCTTCTTCATTTAACGTAATCGACCAACACACATAGTGCGATGAGCTTTAAATACTTAGTAAATCGATACGCGAGTCACGATATACCGACCGATAACGATAATACATTTTTCCAGCCTCGGGAGAGCGATGCGAATTCGGATGGTGCGGTGGTTACGGCATGCTGCTCATAATCGTGGCGATCGTTTGCATCGGCCTGTTCTACTACTTGATCGTAAAACCGTATTTCGGAAAGAGCATCGTGCAATGCTGCCGGCCGATAAAGAGTCCCTTGATCCGTTTACGAGATACCAAGTATAATAGAATAAACACAATTAAAGTCACTTCTTCCTTTAGCACACATAGATCTATTTACAAAATGATTCACGTCGATGCTCGCAATTTGCAGATACGGCTCACGATTCGGAGGACCAATCTTCTGTTTGATCGTGTTCATCGCCATTGTTATTTTCCTCATTATCGACACTGCAGACTCGAGAGAGAGATTAATTAGCGGCCTCGGCGTTATCGTCATACTGGGACTCGGATGGATATTCTCCAAATATCCGGGACAGGCGAGTACATTATATCCTGAGAGGCTCAAGTTTTATTAGCGTCTGAACACAAGACAGTTCATCTTATCAGTCAATCCGTCCTCACATTCGTGAATGGAGAGAAGGGGCGGTCTTGTCTCGCCGTCGTGATGACAGTGTCTTAAATTGAGAGAAATGTTGACTCACTAGCTTCACACTTTACGTAATAATCGCTCCATTTGTCGCATTGACTCAAACGCGCTCCAGTTACTGTGACACATAAGCGAGCGATACTGAGGAAAATTGCTGGAGGCGCGTGGGTTGACGCGTCGCTAATTCCGCTAGAATTAAGGGGATCCAGGAGGAGCAGGCTATGGTCACAGTAAAGTAAAAAGTTTCATCTAACTAAATCGAACTAAAGATGTCGAACAATGCATTTTCGACGTTGTCGATTTTGGGCGGATGTGGCATATTAGATTTTTCCAAATTCGTCAGGCAAAGAGACCTCGTAAGGGACTTCATTCAATGCCAATAAGAATCCATGGGAAATCGAGAAGAACAGTAATTATGAAAACTGCGGAACCATAATCCATTCGAAAACTTCAAATCTGCCGATAGAACAATGAAGATTCAATGTTCATCTCAATGTTCATCTCGATTTGAACAAAATTACGAGATCTGTACGGAGAAAATACTACAGTTTTTCTTTTTCATATAAAATCTATCCAATTTTACTATAGGTCTATCTTTTCGAAGAACCTTGTACTTCTTTTGCCGGTTTATCGCCCATACCGTTTACTGCAGTATCATATTTACCGTGATTTACCATCGGCGTCATCGCACCCTGCGGTTTTATCCTCTTCGCGCGCGCGCGCTCACTCACTGACGAAAGTGAGGATCTTGTATTTTATTATAGCTTTTAAAGGACGCGTCGTTAATTATGTACAGATCAACTGGAGACCTATTATCTTCGGCCTGTTTCTGCAATTTGCGTTTGGACTCATCACGATTCGATGGCCCGTCGGACGTAGCATCTTTCAGTGCGTGTCTGACAAAGTAGCCATCTTTTTGGACTTCGCTAAAGCCGGCGCCAGATTCGTGTTCTCGGAGGATTTGGTCAACAAGGGAGTTTTCGCATTCGCCGTTAGTTAAAGCCTTTTTTACCGTATATATAAAAAATATATAAGATCGGTTGAGATAATTTTGACGCTATTTAATAGATGCAAGAGAATCTGTGCAACAGGAACACGCTATTTTCAGTAGTATGTCTATGAAATTGTGTTAAATACACTTAATTTTATTATTAAAAATAGTACTTCTCTCCGATTCTAGTAAATTTAACTGTCAAATGAACGTAATTAATTCCGTCAAAATTCCTGCGTTGTATGATTTATTGGAAGGTCTCGATTACTCTCCCCCGATCTTATAACCTTGCAAATTGTCACAGATCGCTACCAGGACCAATATTCTATTCCATTAGGTGTTGCCCGTGATCTTTTTCTTTAGTTTCATAGTGCAAGTCTTGTCGTATATCGGCGTTATTCAATGGGTCATCTTGAAACTAGGATGGGTTTTGCAAACAATAATGGGCACGACTCTGTGTGAGTCGATAAACGCCGTCGCCAACCCTTTCATCGGCATGGTAATATCGTTTGAGTCACCATATCGGAATAATTCTTTCGCGCTTTCGTAAAATAAGATTCTTTACTTTCCAGTCGGAGTCTCCCCTGCTGATCAAACCGTACCTGAACAAGCTGACGTCCTCGGAGCTCCACGCCATAATGTGCTCGGGATTTGCCACGGTTTCTGGTCGGTCACGCGTTTCCCGCACTCATGCCGCCAAATTCTAACTGACAATCCTATATAATCCGTCCGCCTATTGCAGGTTCGATATTGGCCGCTTACATCTCGTTCGGCGCGCAACCGGTCTACCTGATCACCGCCTCCGTGATGTCCGCGCCCGCGTCTCTGTGCTACGCCAAGCTCTTTTACCCGGAGATCGAGCAGAGCCAAACCAAGTTCGAGAACCTGAAGCTCGAGAAATCGTAAGTGACGAGAAAGCCACGCGCGGCCCGTTGGTTCGTCAACGCAACGATCGTCACGAGGAGGTTCATGAATGTTGTTTAGATCGGACACCAGCATCATGGACGCTGCTACTAACGGCGCGCTAGCCGCGCTCCCGATCGTCTTGGGCATAACCGCGAACATCGTGGCCTTCGTGGCTTTCATCACGTTTTTCAATGCCATACTTTCCTGGTTTGGCGGCCTCGTCGGTTACGACGCTCTATCTCTCGAGGTAACGACTCCCAAGACGTACGCGGATTTCTCGCAGGTTTTACGATTACGATCGCGATTTTACAGATCATCTTGGCGAAAGTATTTATGCCGCTGAGCTGGGTCATGGGTGTCCCTTGGGAGCAGTGCGAGGACGTGGCTACATTGATAGGCCTCAAGACAGTGGTGAATGAATTGGTCGCCTACCAGAGGATGGGCGAGTTCAAGAAGCAGGGCAGGATATTCGGGAGGTCCGAAACGATCGCCACGTTCGCGATCTGCGGCTTCGCGAATCCCGGATCGATCGGTATCACGATCGGCTGTCTCTCCTCTTTGGCGCCGGAGAAGAAGGAGCAAATCACCGGTGCCGTGGTGCGAGCCTTCTTCGCCGGCAGCGCCGTCTGCTTTCTCACCGCCAGCATCGCCGGTAAAGCCGAGATCCTGAGCGTGACAGTGACCTGCCATCGCGTTTGCTACGAGATTCGCGTTATCGATTAAGTTTCGCTTTGTTGCAGGCATGCTGGTCGACAACATCACGCTTTCCAATTCCACGGTCACGATGATACCAAACGTCACCACAACTACGATGCCGGGTGTTTCATTATTGAATCAATTCAAAAGATCATGATTGTAATTAAGAGTTACGGTACTTTAAGTCCGGATGAAACGCGTTCACCGATCGTATCGTCTTGGGGATTCTCGCTCTGGGAAATAACGGCAATCCCTAAAGAACTCGACCCTCGCGAATTAAGTAGTAAGCGTTAATTTAAGCAGACAGCGATATGGATGAAGAAGAGTCAGTAGTTATTTTATTACGTTCCCTCGCTTAATCGTTGTAATTATCATTTTTATACAATACTGTTATAGAAACATCGAAATACAGATTGTAAATAATACGATCATGCGAGATCATCGGTTTGACCGGAAAAAGAATGACGCAATGCTCAGACTTGTTCGTGTGGCGAAATGAATTTTACGCGCACGCGCTTAGCTAAAGTGACCAGGGCTGCGTTCCGAAATTCAGTGCTGAAATTCTATATTATACGTGACATGAACTATAGATTTTCAGTATTGGCAGTGAATTTTGAAACACAAGCCAGATCATCTTATAAAAAAGTAATATACTTATTGTAGTACATATGTGCCTACTATTTGTACATCGCCCGCGTGTACTTAAAATTGTAAATATCGCTCGTAAAAGAATACGTATTCTCAAAACTGAGAGTGCTTATTTTATTACACATAAAAAGTGCGGTAATCACGTATATCACAATATCCCGAGCATGTGGAATGTCGCGTGCAGTGCCTCGAGAAGCTATGAAAGCATCGACAAAATGCATTATCGCCTTTGTAGATTTTTTGCACTTTCTTTCTCTCTTTCTGTTATCGCTTATGGTAACGTATGCAACTGATAAGTATCATAGACTGTGTGAGTGCGATCGAATACGTCGGCAGTCACCTCCAACATCTTCGGCAGAACGTCTATGTTTCGTTGAACGTTTTCACCACAGACCTGAAGGACCAGATATTAAAATAAGGAATACTATTCCTGTCCGTCTCTAACAATCCCAATAGTGATCCCGTCTCGATTGGTTTACCTTCTTAAATAACATCTCCCTAGTTGGCATTGTGTACATTGCGACTATCGCAGCTTTCCTGATCACCCAAGGGTGATGCTTCGCCAAGGTTTTGTTGTAGGCGTCCTGACAACAACCGGACGTCTTGTCGACGTCCGTGAGGTCACCCAGTTGCCGCAAAAATTCTCTAATAAAATCTAGAAAGCCAAATTGCATCAGTTGTGAATTGCTGTAATCGGCGTCGCGCAAATAACGACGACAGTACCTAAACCTCTATGCAATCGTAATAAAGTACGCGCGCCGTTGACGAAATCAGCCTTTTCCAGCAGTTTATTCTCTCTCTCGTACTCGATCATGGTCTTGACTGTTGTATAATTCTGATTATCTTTGTTCCTCAACTCGGTCAATACGTCTATCTTCTGCTTCAGATCAGAAGACACAAAACTGAAGACACTGCCCATTAACTGAAAAAATCTGTCAGCATGGTATGTTACGCAATACGTTACACGTGGAAATAATTTAAACTACTTGACGTAATGAAGGAAGAGGAGGTGGCGTTTATTATCTTGCTGGTTCAAAGCAAAAGATAATGAAAGCGGCAGCAACAAAAATAATTCTCTGATAACAGTACGTATCATGCAGATACAGTTTTGACACGTGGCACATATTTTTTAGTCTCATCACTAAGATTCTCAAAACTTGCAAAATATGCAGAATTTTCTTATTATTCAGATAAAGAGATGCTGCGTGACAGCTGCATGTGTATACATGCTGTGCATATGAAGATAATGCATAACGTAAGCAATGCTTTTAATCCGATAACGTAGAATGTTAAGTTCAGCCATCGTGTAACTTCAATTTTTATCTCGCTTCGAGATTTCCCAAAAGAAATCTCTCAAAGGAGGACTGACTGCATCAAACAGTGAAGCATCTGTGCCTGACATTGAGGTTATGGCAAGTAATGGGAAGAGACGGGTATCGCGACTTACTTGTACAGCTCGTTGTAGGCGTCTAGATACGCCTTCAAATCAATATCGTCATTTTCCATGAGCGCTCGATCGAAATTATCGTGCACCGTGCGTAAATCGAAAAAACTCAATTCCGGACCCTCGGCCATTCTTGCGTCACTGCATTCGACGAAACACTGCAATCAAATCTGCTCCTGCGCCACGTCTACGGCGAATCGTGCGTTATCTCCTTCGATTCTACATAACCTTTGGAACCGAACTCTAATTGCACGTCCGTATACTTATCGCAACTACTACGACAGTTGGTGTATCACACACTCGGCGTTGTATCATTTCGAGATCGATATCAGCACTTTTCCGCGTTTACCGTACGAGTTGTCGCATTCGTCCGGAATTCGAGGCCATGTCACGATCGGGAGGAGCAAGAGAATTGCAACCTAGCGCACTCTGCTCAGGGAAAGGATGTTCATGCAACAACATCGTTTGTGCATGTAAAACATTTTTGTATTATTTATTCCATTATCTCTGTCTGATTTTGAGACCGAAGAAAATTCGATGAAAATGAATCAAAAGAAATTGTCGGGAAATATAATGAAGAGGAGGATTACCGACAGAAGAGAAATAAGGTCTCTTGAGTAGAATATGGCTGGAATTTGAATTCGAGCCTATTTTTGGTCGTGATGCCAACCCATTCCGAGAGAGGCGCCAGCAATGAGAAAGCTGGTCAACGCAGTCAACGGGTTGCTTAAAAGAAAACGATATCTCTCGTCTAATGAGAGGGATCGCGCACATTTTACGATGCATTGTTTGAATCCGATCAATTTCAGCTTAATTGCAAATAAATGTCTACTACGATATATTCGAATTTTCCAGTTCGCACGTGAAATGTATGCACAGCTGAAGACGACCCATGTCTTTCACACATATAGTCAGAGTTGTTGTGTTTGCACATTATTTACTCCCGACCTCTATTTGTCGAACAATCGCCCTGTGCATTTACTGAGTTGGTTTCGACGGGGGGAAATGGGAAATTCTTGCAAATATCTTCTCGCCTCCTCTCGCTCTCGGCTTATCCGGAATATTTCAACATCTCTGTAGTGCGGAGTGCTAAGGCATGCACGCACCGACAGAATTAAACGTTTCCTCCATTAAGTTAATGTCTACCGAGGCAATACGAACGCACGAATTCATCATCTCATAAGTAATTGCGCATATACATTAGTTATACATATGTTTGATATCTCCAGAAATTTATAAAAACAAGATAAAAAACTCGAATGTAAAATGCCACGTTGCTGGTGAATTTACAACATTGTAAATTCAGATGGTGAATATATTCTGGATTAACTTCGGATACCTTTCGTTTTCATTCCAAATCACTCTAAAGGTCTACAATTGCTAAGGTAAAAGTGTCAGTGTCTAGACATGCACCCGTCACCCCCTTAATCCTAGACATTCTTATTGTTTTAATCCCTAAATATGAGTATTTAAACATAAAATGTATGTGCATATATTTTATGTTTTGGAAGTTTAACTATTCATATTTAAATATCAAAACAATAAGAACGTCCAGGATTAGATAGCTGTTTGGGAATTGGTGCCTGAACTTCAATGTGCAAATATTTTCTCACTGAAGATTTTAATCGATGTCATGACGCGCTCTTCGCGTTGCGCAATATTGCACACGATAAAGTGACATAATAAATGAGATGAAATTTTTGTATTCGTTTTATTTTCTTCCAAGTAATCGTTCACCTAGTCCACGCCCTAATCTGACACAGTGCGTCTGGTAAACTGAATGTATGGCAGTGATACCTTTCCTCAGGAATATATTCCAAATATTTTTACTCGTTCAGCTGTGCTGCTTTTAGCAGTTAACCGTGGTGGTCAAAGTCGCGTGGCCATCGATGTCGTACGTGACGGGGAAACATAAACAAAGAATACTAAAATCTCGCTGACACGTCGGTTCGCGTAGGTAACCGGTCTCCCTGGGGGTGTTAAATAATTCACCGCAGCTGGGACTGAGAGTCGGACGAGAAGCGGGGTTTGCGGAGGAACGAAGGAGGCGGGGTGGTTGAAGGGCCGATTAAATATTCAGGTGTCCCTCAACGCAAATAGAGTAAAGTCAAGCGCGACGTCGGGAGCAGAGGCGCGCAATCTAAAAACTACGCCAAGTCGAAATGAAGAGATATATCCTTGTGCTGGCCGCTCGCTCGATCACGGCGCTTTCGCGCGTGCATTCGAAACGTACTGCGAGCTACCTCGCGATCATCGTACACGATACCGTACGGTCTCCGAAAACTCGCATACCGATGAAGAAAATCGCGATGAATATTCCGGTCGGCGACGAACGTGCCGTAGACGTTTTTACGACGGCTATACGGTTTCCGGTCAAGCGATCTCACGGGGCGCCGACTTCAACGACCAATCACACGACGACGTCGTCGTAGCTGCGGCGCATAAAAATGTGTCACTGGGGTGCCGTAATATCTCCCCGTGGAGACTTATCGACGAGGAAAGCGCGCCGTGCCACGGTCTTGATTCCTGGGCACAGGACACGCTCAGCGATCCTATCTTCCCTCGACGGCCACTAGCTCGCCTTTATCGCCTTCTTTCTCTCCCTCTCACCCTCCCTGGAAAACACGAAACCGACGGTGTCGGACAACCGGTCGGCTAAAAAGAATCGTTCAACGAGGCGTGCATCGCTCCTGATCATCGTTCTAATTATCTCGGTAACCCAATCTACCCGTCGTTGTCGCGCCTTGGCTTCCCGCCACCCTTCGGAACTTCTCGATTCTCTCGTCTCGGTCTGCCGCCGACCTAGCAGCCTTCAGCCGGCAATCCCCCGCGTCCTTAAGCCGTCGCGTCTTCCGTACGACCATCCCTCTCTGTTTCATTCGCGTTAGACGTCCGGTCGCGTCAACGTCTTCTCGTCTTCTTCTCTCTTTTCTTAGTAGCTCGTCCTCTCTTTCTTTCGATCTCGAAGTCTAACTGTGGGATCGTCGACGACCGCCCATCTAAGTTTAACAATTAACGCCCAAGAGCGGGGAAAAATAAATTAATTGCGCGCAGCCGACGCGAGACACGTCACAAACATGCGATCTAATCGATGGAGAGCCGCGCTCTGTGTATCCTGTAAAAGATGAATTGAATTTCTTTTATTCATTTCGCGATTAAAGTGGATTCCCACTGCGCTCGTCGTCGGAGCTGAATCGCGTGACACGAAAGATACACACCGCGAGATTAATTTTTGAGATACGATTCAATTTAAGACGCTACAGAGCTCAGAGTTGTGAATGAGTTCTTGAAAAAGAGAGAAAAAAGCGAGAAAACGTCGAGATCACACGGCGTCTTCTTCTTCTACGCGACTCCCTCCTCTCCGCGTCATTCTTTTGTCCCGATTGTCAGGGTTGTCAGGGTTGTCAGGAACGACAAGGCGGCAAGCTATAGCGCGAGACGAGAAGGGTGTTTGTCATACGTCGATAGGCGTCAGAATTGACACACTCGCCGAGTGTGAAGCGGAAGTGGCGTTTGGGGCGACGACGTACTACAGGGATTCGAGGGTGCAAGGCAGATAAATATTTGAGGAATTTGTTGTCGAGAATGAAGGCGGCACGGGAGACTTATCGCTTGTTTGGCGGCTCTACAAAAAGGATTTCGGGCGATTTTCCTGGTCTGCATTTCTTTCGCACCGGAATACTGCGCGCATTGTTTGCAATTGTTTATTTTCGTGTTTCAACGCGATCCAGTGTACTCGCTGGACGTTTTCACACGATATCGCGGCCACGAATAGAGGAATGACAAAACGAACGAGAAGGAAAGAGGAGCGCGCGGTGACGAGAAATTTCTAACCCTTCGATGTACGGCATTACACCCTCGTGTGTGGTTCGTAGGAAAAGTTTTAGGTGAGCTACGAGGGGATGGACCTCTCGCGAAAGGGTCTAACGACAGTTTTGTAGCCCATGGAAAATCACTGTCAACCAACAAGAGTCTGCAAAGTGTCGCATTATACAAATACATACGTGCGCGTACTTGTAAAGTCGTGGTCAAAAGTGGCGATGATTGCCGCGTTAGCGGAACCTTCTACGCGCCAGAGACGAGTCGAATTCGCAAGGCAAACGAGCACCGACATATCTCAATGACGATAAATCAAGATTTGAGATGTGGCTCAGTATCTGCAAGCGCGTTCGATGTGTTTGAAGCATCGGGAAAGCATGTAAAAGAGAGAGGACAGTTACGATACTTGCAAATGACGCACTAACAAGATAGACAGGAATAAAAAAAATAAAAGCGTAACGAAACGCAAGAGAAAGAGCAAAAATGGAAGGGGATGCGAATCAAAGCGGTTGAGGCCGTTCTAACTTGAACTTTTGTCAGCGACCGTACGTGAAGTAGAAGCGCATACTCACACGCACACACCTAACGGCAGAATGTAACAGATACAGACGGCGCCTGCGAAAAGCCCGGGTACCCAGGGTAAAACGAGCCTGGGAAGTTCATTAATGGATTAAGAGTGCTCGATCGATACGATTAGCGCGACGTGGCCAGCCGCTCCTGATACGCGCAACATGCATTCGGACGTAACCTAGAATCCATGATTTTGTCGTGCATAGAGGCGATTAATTGGAAAACAGGGCGGTAGAAACGTTTCATGAAAAGAATTATATTGTCAATTTAGCTGGATAGCCGGATTAGTCTCGAGCCCGGCTGTGTCGCGATCGAATTTCTTTATGTTGCGGACAGAGAGAGAGAAAGAGCGCAAGATATTTATTTATTTATTATTTTGTATCCCTGGAGTTGGGAGCGAAAGCTGCGAAAGCACGGTATTATTTCGTGAGCATAATTATGCCGGAGTGACGACTGGTGCGTGTTTATGTGAGTCGTGTTTGTATGTGTCAGTGTTAGGCGTACGCGATAAAATTACAATGCTGGAAAACCCGACGTGTGTCCTCCAGCATACCACGGCTATCAGCGCTTTTATATCGATCCTTGGGATTGATATGAGCGCTGTGTAACACAGGTCCCCCCTTCGTGTCCTCCGCGTGGGGTTGAATTTTAAAACTGCTCTCCCGAGAGAAGCGGGAGACCGTGCGTCTTTTGAAATCGGGCTGTGTGCGGTGCTGTTCTTGCGTAAGAAACTACATATCCCGAGGGATGCCACTCGACGTACATCCCTAGCTGTTGTTGTCATTCGATGGAAAGTCGATGCGCGTCCAAGTTCTCCGCAAACCTTCGATTAGATACTCGGACCCGGCTTACCGAGGTGATAATAAAAAAGCAAAGAGATAAGCAGATTCGCGTCTCGTTCTTTCGACGTGATAACTGGTTGAGACAATCTCGCAAAATCCCGTAAATAAGATTAAAGTACCAATGTGCCTGAATATAGAATATATGTATATAAACAATATATTA